GTGTGCAAGCATGCATGTGTGTTTGTGTGCATGTGCATGTGTGCATGCATGCATGCATGTTTTCTGTGTGTGTGCACGCTGCATGTTTGTGTGCAAGCATGCATGTGTGTTTTCTGTGTGTGCATGTGTGTGCAAGCATGCTGTGTGTTTGTGTGTGCATGTGCATGTGTGTGCCCACATGCATGTTTTCTGTGTGTGCACACATGCGTGCCTGTTTGTACATGTGTGTGCACCGTGTGTGTGTCCAATAACTGTACAAGACAGTGGACAAGACCAAACATTCAATGTGAATCTTGCCTCTAAGTTCTTCCCCTGGAGCCTCTCAGACCCTATTCCATCTCCAACAATCTTTATCACACTTTTTATTTGTGGATTAAGAGGGCGTCACGTTTTTAGGAGTCTCTGATTCCACTGGCCCACGAGCCATGTGAGGGCAGGGCAGTGTCCATTCGGCGTGGGACCTGGCCCACAGCGAGGGAAGGTGTTGTTGAAGTGCCGCGGGCGCCCCAGGTGCAGGGGGCTGGGGCCACGTGGAGGGGCGCAGCCTGAAGCCAAGGGTGCTCTCTGGTTGGTGGGGTGTCTTGGTATCCTGGCAAGGGGCTTTCTCCGCCGGAATCTGGATGTGATTCTCTCCCTTTCGAAGCTTTGGGAATAAACCTCCAAGGTGTTTGCAATTCAAAACCACACATGGTGACTTTTCTCCAGTTTCAAGTTCATTTGAGATTAGGCAAATATCTCCTCCTTGGGGAAGATTCTGCCAGAATCCTTCACTTCATCCAGCCTTTCTTAAGGACGAGAGCTGGTCTTCCAAGCAGAAGTCCCCGGGTGAACACAATCGCCCAGCACCATAAGTTACTTTAATGTAGACGTCACTTTAACCTCTTACCATCTGTTCTGTCCTTTAATAACAAATGCAAAAGAGCATAATTCTCTGTGGCATCATAAAATTGAGGTGGGTGATGGAAATGCCTGTCTGTGTTCTTTATTCATGGCCCTATCGTATGCTGCTGTGATGTTTTTCTCATTTTCTAGACACAAATCAAGGGGAAACTGCTCTCCCCTGATCTGGTGAATTCATTTGTACAGTATTTCTTCTTAATGTGGTAAACTGTGGGGGAGCTCAGAGCATCCCAAGCCAGTACAGAGCCCCAGATGCACACGCAGAGCAGTACCCAGGGAATTAAGCAAAGGCAACTTGGTGGTCAAAATGTAATGAGATTCCTTTGCAAAAAATAAAACCTCTTTAAATATATGGTGGGTTCTTTTCAGTGTTTTTATAATTAAATTTCCCCGCGAAGGATGGGCAGTCTGGCCCAAAGAACGCAGCAGAAGTGGGCTGGGCGGGTGGGCCGAACGACAACCCCCGCCTCCGGAGGGCCGCCCGGCTCCAACCCAAGGACCTCCTCAATCCAGCGCAGCTCAGCCGCTAGTTTGGGACCTGCCGTGTACTCAAGTGCAGAACTCACCGACCTTTCTAGAACTTTCCTGGCGCCCAGAAGGCAGACTGGGGCTTCGCAGGCAGCTAGCCTTGAGTGTTTTCCATTAATCGCGCAGTTCCCTGTCTCCACAACAGGGCCTGATCTGCTGTAACCGGTCCCCCACACCCAGAGCAAGAGCTCAGGCTCAGGTGGCAGGAGGGGGGTTTTCTCTCTGGGACTCAGACTAGTCACCACCACCCCGTGTCCCCGGCGACCACACCTTGGCACCAACCCCCTCCCGTGGGGGAGAAGAGGTGGCTCTGGGCCACAAAGGGCTGCCTTCCTGTGAGCCGACCCCTGGGGCTGGAGCCCAGCGGCCAGGAAGAACACCTGTCCTCCTCCTGCAGGGGGTCTCCCCGGACGCGGCTGCAGCGCTGGGCTGCTCAGACTCGGCTGTTCTGTGTGACGGACGCTACTCGGTGGACAGCAGAGGGACGGGCAGTGAAGACAGGGTGGACTCCTGTCCTGGGCCGCCCAGCGCTGTTAGTGAGCGAGCAGGCGGAGGGCGAGGGGGCAGGCACAGGATCCAGCGTGTCATCACCTGCAGGAGGCAAGGGGGGCTTCAGCGCTTCCACGGCCCAAGGGGACAGCACGGAGTGACATGTGTCCCCAGCCCCGGCCCTGGCCATTCTTTCAGTGGCCTTGCCTGAAACCCTGCTGGGTGTGTGCTGCTCGGGGCAGAGCCAGGGAAGCCAGGAGGTGGGAGACGGGAACAAAGATGGTCCTTACAGACCGTTGGCGGGCAGGGCTGGGAAGGGTATTGGAGGGGGAGGAGTGGGGTGGGGAGGGATATGTGGGGGGGAGGAGTGGGGTGGGAAGGGGTATGTGGGGGAGAAGAGTGGGGTTGGGGAAGGGTATTGGAGGGGGAGGAGTGGGGTGGGGAGGGATATGTGGGGGTGGGGAAGGGTATGTGGAGAGGGAGGAGTGGGGGTGGGAAGGGGTATGTGGGGGGGAGGAGTGGGGTGGGAAGGGGTATGTGGGGGGGAGGAGTGGGGTGGGAAGGGGTATGTGGGGGAGAAGAGTGGGGTTGGGGAAGGGTATTGGAGGGGGAGGAGTGGGGTGGGGAGGGATATGTGGGGGTGGGGAAGGGTATGTGGAGAGGGAGGAGTGGGGGTGGGAAGGGGTATGTGGGGGGGAGGAGTGGGGGTGGGAAGGGGTATGTGGGGGAGAAGAGTGGGGTTGGGGAAGGGTATTGGAGGGGGAGGAGTGGGGTGGGAAGGGGTATGGGGGGAAGGAGAGGGGGTAGGGAGGGGTATGTAGAGGGGGGAGGAGTGGAGGTGGAGAGGGGTATATGGAAGGAGTAGGGGAGGGGTATGGGAATGAGGGAGGGGTATTTGGAGGGAGAGGGGTTAATGGTGGGGCAGGGGTATTCAGGTGGGGGAGAAGTATGTAGGTGGGGGAGGGTATATGGAGGGGGAGGGGTATGTGGAGGGGGAGGGGTATGGGAGTAGGGATTGTGGAGGGAGAGGTAGAGGGGTATGGGAATGAGGGAGGGGTACTGGAGGGGAGGGGCTAAGGGTCAGGTAGGGTTATATGGAGAGGTATGGGGGAGGGGAAGGGTATGTGGAAGGGGCAGGGGGGTACATTTCCAAGCCATCACCCAAGATGTCTACTCAACCTCTGTCACCGTGCATGGGTGCAAAAGACTTTCTTGTGATGAGAACTCTGGGGACATGCAAAGATGCAGCAGAATCCCATGAGCTGTGGTCACTGTGCTCTCTGTCTCGTTTTGTGACTCACTTACTCCAGACAGGGAAGTGTGCCCCAGTGTCACCTTCACTCACCTTGCCCCCCACCGCACCCCAGCTCCGGCGAGCACGGTCTGTCCTCCGTGTCCATGAGCTCAGGGGTTTCTTCATTCAGTTTTAACTGCAGTCTTGTAATAAAACGCCCGGTCCAACTCTACTCTGTGGAGCCAGAGGCTTTCACTGTGGTCCATTACTTTATAAAATGTTGTACGGCCCCGCCACTTGATTTCCGAAAAAAAAAAAAAAAAAAAAAAGCTGTATTTTGTAAAGGTGTGCGGTTGACCCCTGAAAAATGCAGGGTTGTCGGGGCACCGCCCCCGGCACAGCCAGAAATCTGCATGTTAACTTCTGACTCCCCAAACACCTAACTGCTAACAGCCCACTGTCAGTCAGAAGCCTTACACACAAGATAAACAGGCGATGAGCACATATTTCGATGTTATGTGTATTATAGACTCTGTGCTTACAACAAAGTCAGCTAGAGGAAAGACAGTGCTGTTAAGCAAATCATAAGGAGGAGAAAATATTGTCACGATCCTATACCGCATTTATCGATAAACATCCATGTACAAACGGACCGTCACAAGTCAAACCCGTGTCCAAGAGTCAACCGTATTCAAACTTGAATTCCAGTCTGTTAGTTTGACCTTATCCATCATACCTTTTCAGTCTCTGTGGTTTATTTTCCCACAGCTCGGAGAAGTCAGTTACCTTGCAGTTGGTGACCCCGTTCCCATCAGGTGCCCCTTATCATTACAAGAGCTTTTGCTGCCTCTAAATGGAAGACATGCTTCCTACTTTTAAATCTTTCTATTGAAGTATAGTTCACATACAGTATTACATTAATCTCAGGTGTTCAACACACACCTGAATGTCGGGCGACTCGACAGTTATTTACATTATGAAATGCTTGCCAAAAGGAGTGCAATCACCATCTGTCACCATACTGTACGTCTTACCTTTAATTCTACTGTTGTCCTTTTTGTCTCCCAAAGACTAACGTTCTTACCCCATCATCTGGTCCCCTGCCCCCTGGAGAACACAGAACTGTGCGCTCATCTCGGCTCTTCCTCAATCAGACCTCGCTAACTTCCTCGGGAGTTGGGAGCCAGAGAAACGATATTAAGTTGTTTTTCAACAACATCCAGCTTCCCTGTGAAAATACTTCTGTGTGTACATAGTGCTGTAGGCTTCTTGACGACAGGCTTCAGTGTCAAATCTGTGTCTCTGGGCTGGTCGCGGGGCCTTCCTGCCCCTCAGGGAACGGATCCTGTCCCCTGGTGCTTCCGTCAAAGGAGCAAGAAGATGGGACACGGGTGAAAACTTAGGGGGTGTAAATGGGCCAGCTCCCAACCTCTCTTCCCTCTGGACTCTGGGGCGGCTGCTCTGTTGTCCTTCCTCCATCTTTCCCCCGTTGGACGGCGGCTGTTAGGCGTGTTTGCGTCAGGGCTGCAGCCATTTTCCACCGTTGTTTCCAGTCTTCCCAGTGGTGCTGGAGTCTCTACCACGTGTCCCATGCTCCCTGCAGAGACTTTAACTTGGAATATCGTGTCTTATCTTTCCCCGTTACCTGCTGGGCCACTGGGCGTGTAGTTGGTGGCACTCCGTAACTCCCTGACTGCTGACTGCCCTTCCGGTTCCCAAAGTGGTCCCGAAGTACCTCAAGATGGCCAAGTGCAAGGAAATCCGGGGCGGGGCGAGTGTACATTTAGGGAGCATGGCCCCTGCTCCCCACGGCAGGCTGACATGCCTCTCCTCTTGCTCCTTCTTCCAGATCCGGTCTGACAAAGACAACGACATCCCCATCCGGTACAGCATCACGGGCGTGGGCGCCGACCAACCCCCCATGGAGGTCTTCAGCATCGACTCCATGTCTGGACGGATGTATGTCACTCGGCCCATGGATCGGGAGGAGCGAGCCTCCTACCACGTGAGTACCTCAGGCCTTGGGTTCCTACCTTTAGAAGGAGAATGTGGCTCATACTTTCAGACTCTTACCTCTTGTGTATCCCACTTCATCTCACATCCATACATCCATCTATCCATCCATCCATCCATCAATTCCTCCATCCATTCTTTCCTTCATCCATCCATTCTTCCATCCATCTACACATCCGTCCATCTACTGATCCATCCATCCACCCATCTACTGATCAATCTATCCATCCATTCTTCCATCTATTCCTTCCTTCATCCATCTATTCTTCCACCCATCTATGCATCCATCTACTCATCTATCCATCCATTCTTCCATCCATCCCTCCATTTACCCATCCACTGATCCATCCATCCATCCATCCATCCATCTGTCCATCTGTCCATCCATCCATCCCTCCATTCATCCATTCCATCTATGAATCTACCCATCCTTCCACCCACCCATCCATCCATCAATCCACCCATCCAGGGGATATTTCTCAAGCATCTAGTATGTGTCAGGCCCTGTGGTTGGCAATAAGCCTGAAGTGATAACATGAGTAAACATGGCCTCACTCTGGGGGAGCTTACACTGGGATTAAGAGGCATCAAAACCTCTTGGCCTGAAGCCCTTAAGAAAAGCTGTGTCCCCAGATTCTTCAGCAGCCAGACCACAGGCCTTGAGGAGAGTGGGTGTAGTTACTGAAACACCTCTGCGTCCTGCCCTAGAGATGCCATTGGAAATGGGCATGTGGCTGGCATCCTGACTGCCTCTCGGACAGTGGGGGCCAGGGTCCAGAGAGAAGGAAATATAAGGGAAATAGACTGTTTTGTTAGCTGGTTCAAAAAAGAGCTTCCCTTGGATGCCTGAGTATCTAAAGGAAAATCATCGTCTCTTTTCTGAGCCAGACTGATGATTTTATTTACGGGGCTAGGGAATGTGGAGGAAAGCACGCAGACATTGAAACCCCGGCAGCGGGCAGCCGCTGACACTCAGGCACACTTTGCCTCTGGCTTCCAGGCAGACAATTTCAGGGGTGCTTTCCCCCCTGGAAGGGGCCCTCGGGGACCTCCTCTGAGGCACTGGTGAAATAAGGCGTGGTCGTTCCCACACCAAACACTTACCAGGGACCAGACCCTGGGGACGCACTACCCCTGCTCCCTGCCCTTCTCTCTCCCTCCCTCCCCTGTGGTCTGTCTACCCTCCCAGAGGCACATGCCCCTCCTAGAATGCCTTGTTCCAGGCATTTGTGCCCCGGAGTCTAAAGGGATGCTCAGCCAGTGGTTGGGACGAGCAAATGTTTCCAGCGAGTGAGAACAGAAGGAAGGGGGGCAGCTGCTGGCTTGCTGCATTGCCCACCTGGCCAGGGGTCCCTCTGCCCTGCAGTCTTTGACCCTGATTGGCCGAAGACCTTGAGAGCCTCCTCCGACATTGGAGGCTTTGTCTCCAAATGGCCCCACAGAGAGGCCACTTGCTGATGCTCATGTTCACCTCTTCAAGATTAGACAGAGTCCTCTTTAATTATCACGGTCGCCCCTCCTCCTGTGCCCAAGCAGCCCCACGCCTCTCTCCAGGAGGCCAGACAGCGGGGTTGGCCCCAGGCGGCTCTGGTGTCCCCTGGAATGTCACACGGTTGCTTCAGCGGTTTGGGGAGGGAGGAGCTCTCGGCGGGGCACCTCTCCTGCCTTCCTCGGGGCTCCAGCGACCCCTGCTGTCCCCAGCACCGGTGTCTTCTCTGGCTGTTTCTTATGGCGCTTCCAGACCAAACGAAAGCCTTTGTCGTAAACCCTGGGCCGGGCTGCCCTGCAGAGCCTGCGGCTCGGCGTGCCACGGCCCTGGTGAGCCTGGTGGGAAGGGGCTGCCCCGGGCCAGGCCCGCTCAGCTCCTGATGTCGGGACGTTTACAGAGTCCAGGGCCCCGTGCAGAATGAAGTGGGGGGCCCTCATCTGGACCAGGGATTTCAGGTCAGTGACAGCAGAGCATTTAACCACACACGGTCCCTCCTGTGCGTCGGGCCTGCAGGCTGTGCGGTCTCAGGCCATGAAACTGGCCCCCTTCGAGGACGGGCAGCGCAGGTGGGCTGTCAGCCAAGCCCGCTTCGGAGGACGCGGCCCCAGCGCCTGCTGACTGCAGATCCACCCCTGAGAGAACCCACACCCAGTGGGAAGGCGCTCCCTTTCATTTTATTTAATTACTTGGGAAACCTTGAGCTCAAAAGGAGACCTGCTTTTGGTGTTTCTGGGTAACTGTTTCTCCTCGGCATTTCACACCAAAGTCAGCACTGGAATTCCCGGTTCCCCCGCAAGAGTCCAGCCCCGCCCTCCTGCCACCCGCCCGAGCTGGCTCAGCCCAGAGGACGAGGACGCAAGGGGCGTCTGAAGGCCGATGGCCGCTCCAGGGAGTGCGTCGCCTGCCCGCCCCCGTTGCTCCAAGGGCAGGATGGTCGATCCACCAAGTGCCAAGGCAGTGACTAGCGTCCTGCAGAACAACCTAGGCCCCCATGCACCTCTCACGCACACCTCCATTTCCGCTTGTTCCTTTCGCCCGATGTGACCCCAAAGCCTCGCTCAGCACCAGACTCTGCGCAGGAGACACGTGGCGTCCGAAGCTAGATGGCTCTGCGACAGGCCCCCTCAGAAAAGCCGGGGGTCACAGGCTGGCAGTCCCCAGGGATCAGGGTGGCATGCTGGGCCTGGAGGGGAGGCCTCTGGTCCTCTGCAAGGACGCCTGCAGGCCACAGCCCCTCCTCACCCAAGCCGGCCAGAGAGGAAGCAGAGAACTCGGCCAGGGGGGCGGGGTGGGGGGGAGGGGAACCGTCCACCTGTCCCTGCACACTCGGCTCCGTGTCTGGGCCTCCATGGACCTGCTCACCTCCAGACACTTGGCACACGTTCCCTTCTGTCTCCCGCCACGTCCTGAGGTTGCATCTTGGGAGATGAGAAATCCAACCATGCCACCATGTATTAAGTGTTTCCTGCTTGCTCTCATGAACCAGGAAATGTGCTCCAGGGGGGTACCCACCTCAACCTCCTCGGGCCCCATCTCAGAAGTGAGGAATGTCTCCCGGCGCCACCCCTGGCTGCCGCCTCCAGCAGGCTCACCCCTAGACCCCACAAGGTGACAAGTCGGTGGGAGATGACGGGACCCAGACCGGGGGAGAGGTCAAGTCCATATGCCGAATTCCAGATTGAAACCTCATGTTCCAACTTGCGACTCTCTGTCCCAGCACGGTGAAGCCCTCGGGAACTCTCCCGTCCTCCCTGGGGTTGGGAAGCCGCTCTGGGCAGTCCTCACACTCCTTGTGAGACTAAGGCAGGAGCCCCTCTCAGGACTGTCACCTCGCAGGATGCACACCAGAGCCTTCGGGGGCAGCTTGCAAGTGTGTCAGCTCCCTCTGCCGCGTAACAAACAGGCACAAACTCAGCGGCTTAAAATGACACCCATTTCTGGGCTCGTGTTCTGTAGGTCAGAAGTCTGGTGGGCTCTGCCTTAGGGTCTCACAAGGTGGAAATCAAGGTGATGCATACCTGGAGGCGTCTACTTCCTGCTCATCCAGGTTGTGACGGATCCAGATCCCCCTTTCCCCGCTGACTGTCAGCCAGGGCCCCTCTCACCCCCTTAAGACACCCGCATTCCTCGGCACGTGGCCCCCTCCACTTTCTCCAGCAGCTATGCCCTGAATCTGCCCTAAGTGTCAGCTTCTGACTCCCGTGCAGCCACCAGCCAAGGCAGCACCGTGATTTTAGCACCACGAGGCCGCCTCGTCCCACCCAGACATTTCCCCCCATGTCTAAAATGTAGCCCAATCACGGGGCGACCCCCCATTGCATCCACATCTGGGGATCCACACCCCACATCCTCTGGCACCTTTGACCATGTCTCCCACCTGAGAGCAAGCTGATGAACTGTGGACACGGGTCGCTCGGAGACCACCAACAACACGTCAGTGTTCAAATGCATGAAATGAAGAATGGTCATGTTGGCTTTTGCAGGATGATTCTCTAGAAGGTTCTCCGGAGGGTTCCATACATAAGACCTGAATGCTGCCACTACTCTCATCTTGGGCAAATTTCCTAATCCTCCTGCGCCTCCCTTGCCCCATCCGTGAAATAAAGATCGGGACGATAGTGTGTCAAGGGTGCTCGTGGAAGCTGAGGCGGGTCACCCACACGGTCACCGACGCAGGCGCGTCCAGGGCCCACATGGAGAGCTGTGTGGTCCAGGCTCCAGGAGGAAGCCGGCGGCCTGCAGTTAGGACACAAAGCAGAGCGAGCTGCTGAGAGGAGGCGGGCATGCACGCACGAGTTCCTCCCTGCTCCTGTCCCCGCGGGGACGCGACACCAAGCCCCTGCGTTCGTGTTTCCCTGTCTCGCTTCCGCGGCGAGAAGGGACAGACGTCCTGCTCACGGCATCGCAGGGGCGGCAACCTCCCTTTGCATGCGAGGCTCGGGTTGGCAGGTCACGGAGGGGACCAGAGCTCCCCCGGTGCCACCGTGTCTCCGCACCAGGACGGGACGGCCCCCGCTAAGCCCACAGCGTGTGCCCAGCCCGAGAGGTGGACGGCGGCCTCCCTGCCAGGCCACGCTGCCAATGCCAACAGTGTCACCTTTAACTGTAGCCCCGAAGTACCTTTTCTCAGCGGCTTCTTGACCCGCTGGAAGAGCTGAGCTGCAGGACGGGGGGCAGGGTGGGCCCGAAACTGCGAGGGGTGCTTCCCGGCCCTTCCACGTGGTGCTCGGAACCGAGGCGCCGGGGGTGCGGTCACCTCTGGCCCCCCGGGAATCAGGCCTAATGTGTGTCCTTGCAACATCGCAGGCTGGCGTCCCCTGGGAGGCTTCTCAAACACCCCAGTTCAAGGGTAAAATTCCACTCAGGGCCATGGGGACCGAACCAAACGCCGGGGCTGGTGTAGACACTGTTGGTGGGAGCCTCCCTGGGGCAGGAGCACCGCCTCCTCCTTCCCAGAGGCTGGTAGGGCGGCCATGACGTGGGGCACCATGGAGGAGAGGGCCGTGTGCACCCCCCGCCCGGAGACACTTCCCCCCACAGGCCGCAAACACGCGCTCTTCTCGCACCCTGGGCGTGGTGCTGTCCTGTGGCAAAGACCTCAAGGTCCGATGTGAACAGCTTGCAAGGTGATGGGGTGTCAGCTGAGAGATGTGTGACGGTCACAGCTCTGGTGTGGACAGACCTCAGGGAGACCCTGCCCCTTTCCACCCCCTGTTCCCCCCCAAATCCCAGGTCCTGCATGACCCTCCCCAGCCCCCCTGCTGCCCCCAGGCCTCCGCTGCTCCATGTCCCCTTTGGGACTTCACACCTATTCCTCTCCCTGTCCCATTCACCAGGCCACAGCGCAAACGTCACCTCCTCTGAGACGCCTGCCTGGCCTCCTCCCAACCCCAGCCAGTCGCTCCATGTGCCTTCTCTCCCTTCTTGGTGTCCGTCTCCCTTCTCGACGAGAAGCCCCAGGGCTGGGCCTTGTCTGGACCACTGAGCAATAATCTAGGGTCCAGCCGGTGCCTGGTACATGGAGGCCCTTGACAGATCCTGGTTAAGTGGATGAACTGATGAATGAATGAAAAATCCAAAAATTGGGGTGCCTGGGTGGTTCAGTTGATGAAGCATCCGACTCATGGTTTCAGCTCAAGTCATGACCTCAGGGTCCTGGGATCAAGTCCCGCGTCAGGCTCTGCACTCAGTAGAGAGTTTGCTTGTCCCTCTTTCTTCCCCCCTCCCCTGCTCGCTTTCTCTCTCTCTCTCTCTCTCTCAAATGGATAAATAAAATCTTTACCCCAAAAAAATCCAAAAATTAAGGGTCCTCTCACAGCTTTTCCCCGTGTCTCCAGAGGAGAGCACCGAGGCTCAGAGGAGTTTCATGGCATGTCCCAGGCCCACCCCCCTGCCAAGACTGTCCCTTGGGGGACCCAGGCCCTTACGTCAGCGCCAGCCCAGAGCTGTGGGCTGGCAAGAACCTGCCCTGGGCTGTCCCCAAGGCTGACAGTGTCTATGCTGCTTTCCAGCTCAGAGCGCACGCAGTGGACATGAACGGCAACAAGGTGGAGAACCCCATCGACCTGTATATCTACGTCATCGACATGAACGACAACCGTCCCGAGTTCATCAACCAGGTCTACAACGGCTCCGTGGATGAGGGTTCCAAGCCAGGTGAGCCCCCGGCCCCTGAGGAGCGCCGAGTGAGTGGGAGTCAGCAGGCGAGGAGGCCCCATGCTCAGGGAGCCGTGACCACCCCACGGGCCTCCTCCCCATGGAGGCGCTCACTTAGCAGGTGCATGTCGCACGCACTGCAGGCCACACGGGACCCCGGGAGCAGGGCCCCTGCTTCACGGGCTCCTAGGTCCAGAGGGGGGTGCAGACAAAAGCCAAGCTAAAGCAAGTACTTAAAGCCACAGCACAGATAGTAAGGCTCGGAAGGAACCCAGGGGCGCTGAGAGTCGTGGAGGCGCCTGTAGGTCAGGGAGGACCCCTCTGTGGAGGTGACATAGAGGCTGAGAGCTGAGGCATGACAAGGAGCCTCTTGGAGAGAAGGTCTGGGGGGTGGGGGTGTGTTGGAAGGGAGCCTGGGGAAGGAAAAGGCACGGGCAGAGGTCCTGGGGCAGGAGACGAGGTCAGAGAGAAGACCTGACATCCGAGGTCTCCCGCACCACACTTTCCATTTTATTCCAAACCCCGTAGGAAGCCCACGAGAAGGCCAGACTCCCGCGGCCCCAAGCGGTGAGCCCACATGCCTGCAGGCCTCAGTACCCCTCTGAGCTGACCCAAGGGCCAGTCTTACCCCAGACTTCAGTTTGGCATAGATACCTTGACCACGTGATCGTGCGCCACGGCCCTTGCTAAGCATGTCTCTGCAGGGGAAGGGCCCCTTCCCTCTCCTCTTTAGCAAAGACAAACCTGAAGGTCCCAGGAGGTGTGTGTGGGGGCCAGAACCCCCAGCCGATGCTAGACCTGGCCTGGGAACCGGCAGCAGCACCTGGGAATGCAGTAGAAATCTAGAACCTCTCAGCCCACCCCCCTCCCCGACTCAGTCTCTGTAGGTGAGAGGGCAGCCCTGCACTGCCTGATGTCTCCTGCAGGGACGGGCGGCATCCCTGGGCCAGCTGCCCAGCCGGGGGCTGGGCGGGTGGAGCTGAGCTGAGCACCCCCAGGGCCGCCAGGAGTAGACACTGAAATGCAGGATGCCCAGGGGCACGGGAGGATCAGAGCAACTATTTTCATGCATACTTATGCACCAGGCAACATTTAGGAGCTGCCTACAGTGACGAAGTACTGCTTTTGTCCTGAACTTCAAGTGTCCCCGGGGTCTGTAGCTTAGCGGGCAACCCCACCCCGGCGGCCCTGGCGAGTATCCCATTCCAGGAGGGCGTCGGGGCTCCTGGGAAGCCCTGTGGCTATGGGCACACGGACCCTCGAGCACCAGGAGCCTGAAGCTCAGCCGGCTTCCCGCTTCCTGTGCTCAGAGGGGTCAGCCGCATCCCATGCAGCCCACGGTGGGGTGGCGAAGCCAAGCATTTATCATCGCTTCCCCGCCCGGAGCAGGTTGTCATAGTTCTGTCTCCAGGGGCTGCTTTTTCAGCAAGGTGAACTGTGTTTTTGATTGATTGTCTCGGAATTGCGAGACGCAGGCCAGCCCGGTGTCAGTGAAGGGACGGCATGTGACATTATGTCTGCCCACACCTTGGGCAGCTTCTCCCCACAGCCCCTGAGGAGCAGGGACAGGCTGCCGACGGGCAAATTAGCTCCAAGCGGCCAGCTCCTTAGGCAAAGGGGTGGGGTCGTGGGTGTCAGGCTTGGGGGTGCTTTCTCGTTAGCACAGATATGGCGGGCCTCTCTCCCCACGACCCGGCACACTCCATAAAGGTGCCTGGATATCATAAATCACACCTCCCTTGTCTTACTTTAGAACAAATCAATAGAGAAAGTCTTCCCAAATGTGTAACTGGCTTTACTCCTTAGGATAACAAAAGCAGCAAATTGTTGTGGCTCCTCCTCAAAATCCTGATAAGCTTTTAAGTTGGAGATCGGAGCTGCCCCTGCCCCCCCATCGCCCCATCACCCCAGCTCCACAGGGCCACTTGGAATGCCGAGCATGGCCTGAAAGACCGGAAGGCTGGTGTGGATCCCAAGATGGGTCCTCTTTCCCCGTTCACTCCTGTGTCTTTCATGGACTGTTTGCACTAGGTGTGGACTGACTTTCAGGGTCCCTGGGGGACCCCGCATCTGTCTCTGATCCCGGAACAGCCCTCAGAGGGGAACAGGGATGCCACGGCTTTGTGCAACGCCCGGGACGCAGCGGGGCCGTGCTGCTCCCTCACGTGCCCGGCCAAGGCGAGTTGACCCCAGACAAAGCATGCCGTGGTGTCCTGGAGGCAGAAGTGCCCAGGGCTCGGAAACAGTCTCCGGGGTGTCCTCCCTTGCGTCGGTTAATCACCGTAATAGAAGGTTTCACTCGGTGCCTTTGCGGGGTAAGGAAAACCTATCACCAGAAATTAGCCCTTATTCCCTGGCATAATGGGTTAAGGAAAGGTTTCAGATGTACATTCTAAAGGAAAACAAATGGAAAGATGTGTTAAACATTGACTCACCCAGATACAAACCTTTTAAGGTTTGGGTAGTTCATATGAGGACATTAGCAAAGTGACTCAGGGGTGGAGTCTCAGGAGGAGCCCGCATTCACCCCTCATTCTTTCCCCAGCCCCGGTGCCCCGCCGTGGTACGGAATCCTCTTTGGTGACAGGCTCGGAGGGTGTGGAAGCCCCAGGGTGGCCCGTCCTATCTGGTGCAGCAATGGTCATTGTGGTTTGGGGTCAAGGGTGCCCGCTGCTCTGATCTCAGCTGTTAGATTTCTGGGTCTCCAAAACCCACCTTGAGAGCCCCTGGAAAAGGGAATGCATTGGCTCACATAATTGCCAAGTCCAGAGACAGGAAGCAATCTCGGGTGCTGTGGCTAGAGTGGGACTGGCCAGGGCCTTGCTTACCTCGGTCTGACTCTCCCCTCCTCGGTGCTGGCTCATTCTCAGGGAAGTTCTCTCTTCCTGTGGACAAGACGCCTCAGCAGCTGCAGACATAACCATGAGCCCTGGGAGAGGGCCCACTTCTTGCTGGAGTCCAGCAGGGGCCCTGGGAGATCCCCGTGATCTGGCTTGGGTGCTGTGCCCATCCTGAGGCAGTCCCCACGGCCAGTGCATGGACAGTGAGCCTCTTTCAGGCACAAACAGAGTCCGGTTCTACACCCCTCCAAGTCATTGGGTCTGACCCTGTGGCTGGTGTGGATCCCCCCCAAGGAAAACCAGATCGTTGCTTCAGAAAAGGGGGCTGGATACCAGGTAGGCTCAAATAGCAGGTGTGCATCACATGCAGTTGTAAGAAATAATAGAGACACCCCACAAATCTTCACCCGTTTCCCCCGGTGGGAACAGCTCGCAGAACTGTCATGCATGATCACGCCAGGACGTGACACTGGTGCAATCACAGGCCTCACTCACACGTCGGCAAGTTTCCCAGCGTGCGCCCACGCAGACGTGCGTGGGTGCGCTTCCGTGCAGTCTCCCCACGTGTGTAGATTCCTGTGACCGCGGTCAAGCGGCTGAACAGCTCCTTCGGCAGGGCCCCTGTACTGCCTTTCAGAACGACAGCTTCTTCCCTCCCCCACCACCCGCCCACCGACCCACCATCCCTAACCCCTGCCAGGCGCTGCTCTAAGACCTCCCTTCGGATGCCCTTCTTTAACGCTGCGACAGCCCTACCAGATAAGCACGTTTCTTTTCCCCACTTTGGAGATAAGGGAGCGAAGGCATAGAAAGGAGGCAAGATTTATTTTTTTTTCCTTTTTTTTTTATTCTTATGTTAATCCCCATACATTACATCATTAGTTTTAGATGAAGTGTTCCATGATTCATTGTTTGTGCATAACACCCAGTGCTCCATGCAGAATGTGCCCTCCTCAATACCCATCACCAGGCTAACCCATCCTCCTCCCCTCTAGAACCCTCAGTTTGTTTTTCAGAGTCTGTCATCTCTCATGGTTCGTCTACCCCTCCGATTTCCCCCGCTTCATTCTTCCCCCTCCCGCTACCTTCTTCTTCTTCTTTTTTTTTTTCCTTAACATATATTGCATTATTTGTTTCAGAGGTACAGATCTGAGATTCAACAGTCTTGCACAATTCACAGCGCTTACCAGAGCACATACCCTCCCCAGTGTCTATCACCCAGTCACCCCATCCCTCCCACCCCACCCCCCACTCCAGCAACCCTCAGTTTGTTTCCTGCGATTAAGAATTCCTCATATTAGTGAGATCATATGATACATGTCTTTCTCTGACTGACTTATTTCACTCAACATAATACCCTCCAGTTCCATCCACATCATTGCAAATGGCAAGATCTCATTCCTTTTGATGGCTGCGTAATATTCCATTGTGTATATATACCACTTCTTCTTTATCCATTCATCTGTTGATGGACATCTTGGCTCTTTCCACAGTTTGGCTATTGTGGACATTGCTGCTATAAACATCGGGGTGCACGTACCGAAAGGAGGCAAGATTTAAACCCAGGCAGTCTGGCTCGTGAGCCACGGTGCTCACCATGGTACACACTGCTTCCCCTCCCCAGTCTGTGTCAGGAATGCATCAGCCGCAAGTCACAGAAAACCCACCTTTGTACCAGGAGGGGTTTGGGGGAGAGCTTGAAGTTCCCATGCCTCTCCCTCTGGTTTCTCACCCCATGGTCCCTTGGAGGCTGCAGTGCCTCCAAGCATCACATCCACTATCAGGCAGAAGGAAGGAGAAGGAAAGAGAAGGACAGAATGTAGCTCGGGCAGTGTCTCCCCAGAAAAGCACAGGTTGTGTAAGAAAGTGCCTTTCTCCAGGATAGAAAAATATAAACCCCACCCTCAAGAAGTCCATCGTCCAGTTGAGGAACCCAGAAATCCGTACGTTATGTACGTGTGAACGAGTGGTAGAGATGCACATCCAGCAAAGGCAGAGAAGCAAACATGCCAGGCCTTCAGGAAAGGAGAGCATTCTCCTGCCTCAGGGCCTTTGCACATGCTGTGTCCTCAGCCTGAATGTCCTCTCCCCAGTCACTGTGACACTGGCCCCTTTTCCTCCCCCAGCTCACATATCACTCCTGCAGAGGTGTCTGCCCTG